CTAAGCCAGTTCATGCACTCTCCTAAGAAACCACACATGGAGGCAGCGGAGAGAGTTCTTAGATACTTGAAGAAATATCCCGAAACAGGTCTACTATTCAGTAAACACAATCACCTAAAGGTGGAAAGTCTTTACAGATGTTGATTGGGCAAGAGTTGTGGATGACAGAAAGTCTACAAGTGGGTATTGCACATTTGTGGGAGGAAATCTAGTGACCTGGAAGAGCAAGAAACAAAGTGTGGTAGCAAGGTTGAGCGTTGAAGCTGAATATAGAGCTATGGCACATGGGGTGACTGAAGTCCTTTGGCTAAAGAATCTTCTAGGGGAGCTTGGAGTTGTTATTCATAGTCCTATGTCTCTTAACTGTGACAACAAGGCTGCAATAAACATCGCCAGCAACCCTGTCCTACATGAGAGAACCAAGCACATTGAGGTGGACAAACACTTCATAAGGGAAAAATTGGAAAAAAGGGAAATTTGCATCCCTTATGTCAACTCCAAGGAACAACTTGCTGATGTCCTCACAAAGGGGCTTCCATACTCGGGCACAATGAGTTATGTGACAAGCTGGGCATGATAAGACATATTCGGCCCAACTTGAGGGGGAGTGTTGTAAGGCTTATTTAATTGTTACTTTATAGTTGTTGTTAGTAGGCTGACTTCTTAAGATACTGTCAGTTAGTTACTTGTTTTTTTTTATGTTATTAGTTTGGTTCTAGGGTGCGCCGCCGGGGGCATACTTGTAATTTCTATTATTTTAATAAGTTAATATAAATAGAGAACTGGCGGCATCCAGTAGGATCTTTTTCCCCCTCTCAATCGTATCTCCCTTCTCTTCTCTTTCTCTCTCTCTCTCTCTCGTCTCCCACTCTCCATGAATGATTACAGCCCCCACAACATGCCAATCCAGGTTCCACTAGACTACCACTAAACAAAGCCTGGACTTCCGCTTTCACTTACTAAAATTGTCCCCAATGGACAGAGATAATTGTTGATTGATCACATCAACCTCTAAAAATTGAACAGCTTTATCTTGCTAAACTCTAAAAAGCAGACTTGGCAAAATCAACTCCTCCCAAGAAGAGACCTAGCTTCTTGGCCACTTGCATCTCATTGAGGAAAACTTTAGCAACTAGGAAAGGACCTATCCAACTGATGAATCTCATTAATCACAAAATTATCAGCACCCACAACTTCCTCCCGATGTGCTAATTTGATGGTAATGCTTTCAATCAATTCTTCCTTCAACTTAGTTAATCCTCAGAAGATATGATTGTTCCTTTCTTCCCATTGTTAGCCCCCAAAAACAAATTTTCCTTTCTTAGTGAGTGAATCAGGTAATCAATTTGCAGATCTAGGTATCCAATTTACCAAAATAACAATTTCCCCTTAGAGTTGTTTGATTACTCTTGCTGGATGCCTATACTGCCATGTTCCTTGATGTCCTCTAGCCATTCAACAATACTCCAAGAATCCCCCTTCTACCACTAAATTTCTCATGTTTCTGCTCAAACATTTATGTATAGAAGCCTCTTTTACATAAAGTAATAAATGAACACTCATAGCCCATTAATTTACACAACTTCAGTTAAGTACTCTTTAACAGCATTTGAATCATAAAGCAACTCCAATCACAACCTTAATGCCTCCATGATAGGTAGGCAAAAAACTACAACAAATCCAAATACTCCAAAACAGTATGACCAGGAAATTTTTTGACCAGTTACTGGGATAAGTTTTTTTTTCTGAATAGTAAATAAAAGAACTTTAATAAACAGAAAAGGAAAAGAGTATAAAAAGATAGGATACGGGAGCTTTTTTGATAAGTTACTGGGATAATTTTTTTCCAAATAGTAAATAAAAGAGCTTTAATAAACAGAAAAGGAAAAGGGTATCAAAATGAAGTGTATACTAAATGGCAAAAACTATACACGTGTCTCCCAAAATAAGACTCTATACTAAATGCCAAAAGACTGTATACTAAATGCCAAAAGACTATACATGCTTTGAGATCCAAGACTGACCAGAATAAGTACATAACAAAATAGGGATAGACATGAATCCAGGGTCAAAATAAAGAAGCCAAGATAAAGGATGAAATTTCACTTACCTTCTTATCAATATGTTACACAGCAGTATTACACGATCTTTGGGCAAAAGAGAAGCAAGGATCTCACCAACTACACTAGAAATGTTTTTCTTCATCTGCTCTAATGTAATACCATTTTCATTAATGACACGACCAGTAAGGCTTGGTTTGTATTCTTTACACTCATTTATAGACTTCACCATGATCATACATTCAATCATGAATTGTTCAAACGATACTATTGATGGCTCAGGATTTGTAATCTGGTTCAAACAGAAGTCCATCACAAGTGGAAGAACACACTTATCTCCAAAGGAATAAGGATGCCTTCCTTGTATTGTCACTAAAATCTTCATCAATTTAGTGCATGCCTTCTTTGTAAACTCCCAAAATTTATGATGTTGCTCTTGGAAAGACGAATCTGCAGTATCAAGACAAAGAATAGCAATACTCAAATTGGTTTCAATGAATAGACACCTCATATTGGTCAAAATGAGTTACTGAATCATTACATGCAGCTAATAAAGATACAATTCTATGATTTTTTTCAGTCAATAAAGATATGCCACTGCAACAGAAATTGACCAACTGAAAGGCATCCTTCAGGAGCTTTACAAGATTCACAACATAAGACTATCAATCAGCATAGATACCACAATGCAAACTAGATATAGACAGCAAAATGAATCCAATAAAAGTCAAATTGACTATTTTTTCACAAACAAAACTGCTAACAAGAAAGGATCAAAATATCGATACACCCGATACCCAAAGATGGGTACCGGCACGTATTGATATCACCAATACTCTGTTTTTTTTTTTTTACTTTTTTTTATAATGATTAGAAGGATGCCTTTGATTGCCCCAAGGTATTAAAAGTTTTAAAATGTTTGTGTATCGATGTATCTATGTGTTTCGAGGTTCACCAATATGGATATGAATATGATATGCTCGAGACCATAGTTGTCAAGGCGGCGCCTAGGCGACTAGGCGGTTTTCAAACTTCACCTCGCCCGATCGCCATGTAAATTTGTATAAGGAGCATGCCTAGGCGACTAGGTGGGTGCTTAACTCCAAGGCGGGCGCCTAGATGCAACTGCAAGACACATTAATACAGCCCTTAATACATTGATCATTTAATATTTTTTATATTGTTTTTTACTTTTTTTTACCGCAAATAATTTTTATTGGTTTGTTTTTGTTATTATAATAGGGACCTATCACACATTATCACTCTTTTTATTAGAAGAATACTAGCAAACCTTTTTTTTTCTTTTTAGGGTTTTATTTTCAGAACTGAATAGAAGAGGGAGAGCAACCCGGTCAGGTTTGCTTCACACAGTCCAACTCCAACCTGTTGCTGCAATGCTGCATAACCAAAAAGAAATCTAAACCACTTCGAATATGCCAGGTACGTCAAATGAATCATCATTAGTTTTCAGTCCGCCTTGGACCACTTATTCTTCTTCTTACCCTCTTCGTTTTCAACCTTTTTTTTCTTCCTTTTTGTTGGCTTTTTCCTCTTCTTTTTTTCTGTTTGTTCCCTACATCTTTTGCATGATTTCTTTTGGAATAAAACAGGGGCTCCGCCCCCTTCTTTTCTTCTTCATTTTCCTGCAAACTTTTCACCCTTTTGTTCTTATTCATTTACCTGCACTTTTTTCCTCCTCAAAGGTGATCTGGAACAGGGGTTCCACCCCCTTTTCTTCTTCATTTCTCCGAGTTTTTTCATCATTTTTTCCCTCTTCATTGGTGGTCTGAAACAGGGGCTCTGTCCCCTTCTTCTCATTTTCTTCTTTTATTTTTGTGCTTCCCCAGTTTCTTGGCCTAAAACAGCAGCGGAGCCCCTTGCGATTTTTCTTTTTTTGGTCTAGAACAGGGCCTCCACCTCCCTGTTTTCTCCTTAAGTTCTTTTTCTTTTCTAGGTCAAACACAGGGGCTACACCCTCTTCAATTCTTTTAAGTCTGAATTTCTATTTCTAATATTCTCTGTTGAATACTTTAAGCATGACTGCAAGAATCATAAGCAGAAAATTTAGTTTAGAGGTTTGTAGGTTAATGTATTAAACCAAGTAACTAGCTCATGAGGGGTAGAAACATTTAGGCTTCCTACTTTCTGATTTCATTGCGCCTAGGCGCCTGGGCGCCCCATGGTCGCCTAGCCTCGCCTTGGCGCCTTGAAAACTATGCTCGAGATGGGCATATCATATCATTTAATCCCTGCTAACTAGTAAGGATTACAAAGTCATCCTAAGTGAATGTCTAGCCACACAACATAAGTTAGTGGCTTTAGATTTTTTTTTTTTTTGGAAAGGAAACGAAATTAATCATATATTGTTTAAAAAAATGTGGCTACAAAGATCCTTGGAGTATCAAAAGGTAGTCTAATTGATAAAGTTGTATTGTGAGTTTGAATATGGAAGAGAGGGAGATAACTGAGGGAGCAGAAATTTTGGGTTGTGTGGTTTCTCAATGGCTTATGACTTACTTGGGTTTACCCTTGGGGGATAATCCAAGAGGTAGCAACTTCTAAAACCCAGTGGTTGAAAGGTTCACAAAGAAATTGGCTTCGTTGAAAATAGTTATTTTTCTTCCGGAAGAAGGACCACATTGATTAAGTCTACAGTAGCCAATTTGCCTGTTTACTTCATGTTAGTGTTCCAAATTCCACAAAGGTTTAGTAGAAGATTAGAAAAGTTGATTTGGGATTTTTTATGGGATCCAGGGGAGGAAAATAAGGATCATAGAGTAAGTTGGGAGGTGGTCTATAGGCATAAGAAGTGGGGCCACCTAGGTATTGGGAATATTCAGCAAAGGAATATTGCTCTGTTGAATAAATGGTTGTGGAGATTGCCAAATGATAGAGACAAACTATGGGCAAAGGTGATCATTAGCATTCATGGGCTTGCAGCTGAAGATTGGGACACTGGAGTTCAGACTAGGGCCTACAAGAGCTTTCCCATGGAAATCCATCCATGCTATCCTATCTTCTTTCTTGCTATTTATCGGTATAACCCATGTTTTGGAAATCTTGTCAAATTTTGGGAACATGTTTGGCTAGGCAATTCATCACTAAAGGAATAATTCCCATTTCTCAGTGCACTTTCCAATCATAACAGAGAGAGCCCATTTCTTCTTTCTTGGTTACTTGTAACTCTAGGTCTAGGTTTGACTGGGACCTAGGTCTTAGAAGAGGTCTCCATGAATCTAAAATAAGTAATGTGTAAGGGATAGGCAAATTTGGACTCTTTCTTCCTCTAGTTCCTTCACTTGTGCAACTTTCTTTAGGTCCTTAATACAACCTGGCATAGTTGTCAAGGCAACTAAGCACTTTTTATTACTCGTCTCGCCGAAATGCCAACTAGTTTTTGTATTATCATTTACATCATTTTACAATATTTTTATATTTTTATACTATGAGCTCATAATATTAAAATAAACGGTGATACACCATAACATTCTTTCTTCTCACTTCATAAACCAATGTGTATTTGTTAGATTATTGTATTGTTAGGTTTCAAATGATACAGAGCAATTCGAAGACTTTGAAGACTTCAAAGACTCGAATTGTGAAGACCTAGAGGAACCAGAACCGGTGAGGCGATGACTTCTTGTAAACAAGGAATACCAATTGCTTGCAGATATGTTCCTCCATTGATTGCTGACTTCCTGCCGTCAGCACCTTTTTTTACTAAGATAGGAAATAACCCTCTCTGCTTTTTAATTTTTTTTATTCTTTTCCTTCCATTTCTGGAACAAAAACAGGGTTTACTCCCCTCCTCCTTCATTTGATGCTTTTTTTTCCTATCTTTTTCCTAAGACAAGAACAGGGGCTCCGCCCCATCATCATTTTCAATTTTTTGTCTTGCATTCTTTTTTTAGACAAGAACAGGGGCTTTTCCCCTTCTCCTTCATCTTTTTTGAGGGTTTTTGCATTTACTTTTCTGAGACAAAAAGAGGTGCTTCAGCTTTCCTTTACCTTATTTTTCTGATTTTTTTCTTCTTTTTTCTATGACAAAAACAAAGGTTTAGCCCCTTCTTTTCCTAGGCAATGATATTTCTTAAGGCAATAGCCTTGAAACATTAGAAAGAGAAGGATTATTTCTGAGAAACAAACCTTGAAACACTAGGAAAAGCAAACTTATATTTAATACACTAGGCAAGGCCTAGGTGGGCGCCTAAGCGACTGGGCGGGCACCTAAGCGACTAGGTGACACCTAGGCGGACGCCTAAGCTACTAGGCAACTAAGCGCTCCCTTGTCACCTAGGGTCACCTTGGTGCCTTGAAAACTATGCAACCTGGTGACAGTTTTGGAGTATCTTTTCCTGTTAAGGAGGTTTGGAGGAAACCTTTTCCACCTAGGATAGGAGATTTTAGCAAGGAAGTGTTTATAGAAAGAATTAATACATGTGATTTACTTCAAAGAAAAAGATCTATTTGGTGCTTATCCCCCCACCGGTTTTCGCTCTACAAGGCCAAGGGTAAAACTTGCTATCACTTATTGATCTCTTGTTCCATCACTTTTTCAAATTGGGAAAGGTTTCTCTCTGTCTGGGGGTAGGTGGAACCCCCCACCAAATGTACAAAACATGTTTGCCTCTACTTTTATTAGCTAGCCAAAGAAGAGGGGAAGAATTCTTTGGAGGTGAACAAGGGTGGTTGTATGCTAGACAACTTGGGAAGAGAGGAATCAAAGAACCTTTTAAAAGAATGAGATGAACAAGGGTAACCTGATTGAAATCCATACCATTAGAGTGGTCCACTGGGTGAAGTCCTTGAAACTCTTTGAGGATTTTCCTGTTGATGACTTGATAAAGCAGTGGTTTCAAGTAGCTTATTCATCTCCCTTTAAGGCTGTTATCAAACCATATTGGTCCCCACCTTACAATGGTTTCATTAAGTTAAACTTTGATGGTAATAGTGAAGAGAATCAAGGACCATCAGGTATTGGAGGAGTGTTTAGGGACAATGAAGTAAGAATTATTGCTCTATTCTCTGGTCCAATTGGTGTGGGTGACTCGTTGAGGACTGAAAATGATGGCTGTTTCGGAAGGTGTTTGAAAGGCTAAGAAATCGCATATCCATAAATTGGTGATTGAAGGGGATACAAAGTTGGTTATAAACTGGTTGCAAAGGAAGAGGATGCTGGTTGGTGGGGTTATATTTATGAGAGAAGAAAAATTGGAAGGCTGCTACAAGATATGGAGGCTTTTTTATCAATAATAATTAACTTTAAATAAAATAATAGAAATTAAGTACAAAAGGAAGGGGGGAGATAAGCTCACTTAACTCTCCCACCGAAAGAAACAAATAACAAAGTTATACATGAGCCCAAAACAAAGCATTCCTATTCACCCCTTTCTTAGCTAACTCAATTCTCCAATAGGGGAGTCCACCTACACCCAAACAAAGAAAAGAGC